TCGGAGCCCAGCTGTGCGCACTGTTCCCCTTGGACGAGAACGTGGACGTCCACCAGGTCGCTCGCCGAGTTCGTCACAAGCGTCGGACGCCTTCGGAGCCGCGGCCTCGAGGCCGACCACCACAGCGCGAACCGGGAAGGTTAGCCAATCACCAAGCTCCTCCTCCCGCTTCCTGTTCTTCTGCTGCAACCACGGCCCCACCTGCTGCAGGACAACGGAGATGCCCGCTGCTTTTAGCCGGTGGCTAGCTGTCCCATGGCGAGCACTGCTGCTTCTCTGGTTGTTGTCCCGTTTCCTGTTTGGATTTTTCAATGGATCGCAAAGAGTCAAACAGGAAGTTGAAATCCCGTGTAGGGCGAGTTCGTTAGCTCACTTCAGAGTCACAAATGAATGATGAGGATTAAAATAAGCAACACAGTTTTGTTCCATAGAATCTGAAGTTTTAGTTAAATTTTGTTTTTCTTTGTTAAAATCTGAAAGTTTGGCGTGAAGAAAATTATTTTCTAAATTATTTAAATTTAAAATATGTTGCTAAATTTCTCCCTTTGAAGCTTTTTCTCTGCAGGAGTTTCGTACTTCAGAAGTAATAAAATATCAAAAGGTCTGCTTTCAGCCGGACTGTGGCTGACCCTTTCAAAATAAGAGCAGAGAGAACCACTGAGCGGACTGTTTCTGGTTTTAAGAAGGAAGTGCAGTTTGGTGAGCAGGAGGCGGGGCCTCAGGACTCTGCCCAGTAAGAGGGTTAGGTATGATGGAGGGGTGGGGCCTCAGGACTCTGCCCAGTAAGAGGTTGAGGTGTGATGGCGGGGGCGGGGCCGCTGGACTTAAATCAATGAGAAGGTGAGGTGTGATGAAGGGGGCGGGGCCTCTGGACTTGATTCAATGAGAAGGCGAGGTGTGTCAGAGGGGGCGAGCCTCCTCATTGGTTGAATTGAGGTAAAATCTCTTAAATCCATGAGGGAAAAGACTCGATAAAAAAAACTACTTGGACTTAAAATAGCGTGATACCCCTGAAAGGACTTGTTTTTCCCCCTCCTCCCCCCGTCCAGCCACACACACACACACACACACACACACACACACACTGAATCCGGACTAAAAGCTGGTCATGGCGACAGACTGCTGGTATTTGTTTGGGAGTGTGTGTGTCGCTCTCTAATGAACTGCATACAACGTGTGTGTGTGTGTGTCACACTGAACTGAGTGTGTGTTTGGTGACAAGGGGGCAGGAAACAGATTTCAAAATAAAAGAGAAACAACAAAGGAGTGTCAGACCAGAGAAAAATCTCTGGTTTCTGTTTTAAGGACTGTTGCTGGAGGGGGCAAGGGCTGGGCTGAGAGGGGCGGGCTTTGAATGTTTGATTGACAGGACAGCATCTTCATCACCTTCATCACCCCCCTCCACCCTTTCAAACAGAGGGTTCATAAAAAAATAAGGAGGACTGATGAGGAACTGTTTAATGTAATGAGGAGTCAAACGGCTCGTGTGCAGCAGCAGCGGTATGTTGTCTCTTTATGAGGCGTCTTCTTTGTTTGTTTGTTGTTTGTATGAAAAGAAAGGAGTCCAAATGCTGTTTGTGTTTCAGGACGACTTCATGTAAGAAGATCTACAATTCAAGCGTTCAGGGAAACATTTTACTAAACGATTCAGTTCCAACTTGACGAAGACACGAGCCCAGAAAGTTACGAGAAATGTTCAGAGATTTGACCAATCAGAGGACAGACTCAAAAGAGGAAATGTTTGAGGGAAGAAACTTGAGAATAAAATGAACAGGATCAATATTTTCAAAGTAAAGCAGTCGATAGTTCCTGTTGATGTTAGAGAGGTTTGAGATACTGCAGACATAGGTCAGACCGGGTGAGACACCTGTAGACCAGGTCAGACCGGGTGAGACATCTGTAGACCTGGGCTCACCTTTACACCTGGGCTCATCTGTAGACCTGGGCTCACCTTTACACCTGGGCCCACCTGTAGACCTGGGCTCACCTGTAGGCCTCTCAGGGTTCATCAAACCTGAAACCAGTTTTCTCCAGTTTGTATTAATGTGTGTGTGTGTGTGTGCGGGAGTCATGTGCACGTGTGTGTCTTACTTGTTGACTTGTCTACGTAGGCGTCGCCCCGAAGAGTACGACCTCCACGGCAGGAAGCGTCCACGAGCCGACGGCCCGCCCGACTTCAACCAGCGAGCAGGTCGTCAAACCTCTGATTTACTGAAAGTGTATTTTTAACGAGCTATGTGCGTTACTGCGCCTTTAAGTGTTTTTACTTTGTGACATTCCTCCCAGTTCAAATGTTTTGTTTTTTTCAGTTTGTTGTTTTGATATTTTTCAACATTTTGGTCGTTAATTCTTCATAAATGTTTAAAATCTGTTTTCAGTCCTGGAGGTTGGTGAACTTTATTCTGTTGAAGTTCTTTGTTTCCAGTTTTTGTCGCTGCTGCTCGTTAACGGTTTGAAAAGTAAAAGTTAACAAAAGTTGACATTTAATTTTCAGGGTTTGTCCAGGATCTACGTAACCAGCCGGTGGACAGGTGAGAAACACCTCATCACTCACCTGAAACAAGGTTCAAGAAGTAGGCGGAGCTACAACAGCAATCATCAGTGAAATATCTCAAATGAAAAATGTCCACGTTTGATTTTACCGCTTCAAGGCGGATAAAAAAAAAACTAAAAGGTTTTAGCTTAAAATGTTCAAATTTTTAGAAATCCAAAACTTTTATTTTGAAGTTATTTAAAAAAAAAAATGTTGTCTTTAAATTTGAAAGTTCCAATCAGTGAGATGTGTAGTGAATGAAATGATAAAGTGATCTTACTATATGATCAGACATTAAGGAAACATGCTATGTTGAAGTGCTGGCTTCTCTGACAACAATGCAGCAGCCAGTATGTCCTCCTTCTAACTTTAGATTCTGGTCCTGAATGATCTGGATTTGTTTGGACCAGAGAAGGTAGGCGGTTTTAAGGCCACCCCCTCACGGCTGTTTTGGACGCCCCTCAGTTTGCCAGATATGAGAGCAGTTATCAGGTCAAACCAACAGGTGTTGCAGCGATGGAAGCGAGCAAGAGAAGTGGTTCAGATAGAAGTGATTGTACCCAACCTAAAGCTCTCTACAATGTTTAGAATTTAGACTGCAGTACCCATTTTAAACACTAGGTGTCAGAGTTACATACTGCTCCTGTAAAAAGTTTTATTAAATATAAATCTGAATTTTTATCCACTAAAAAATGATGGACAGAATGCGCCAACAACTTCAGTCACAAAATAATTTGTTTGTTTTCAGGAGATTCTCCGGTGTGAGACGTGACGTTTTTCTCAACGGGGTGAGACACGTTAGCATGTTAGCTTAGCTTCTCGATATTCTGTTAATCGCATGATAATGTGTTAACATGCATTTCCTGTTTCAGTCGTACAACGACTACATGAGAGATTATCACCACAACGTGGGACCCCCCCGCGCCCTGGCAGACCCTGGTACACACTTATTGATCCGTCAGATAATCGTTGGTCATATTTTTAACCTCTGACTTCACTAATCATATGATGTCATCAGGCGGCGTATCCTGGCGTGGAGCAGCCGCCCCCCCACCACCCTCCCTACTACCACCACAGCCACCCCCCACCCCCCTCCTCACCAGGCTTACCATCACCACCACCACCCCCCAATGCCGCCCCATGAGGCTCCACCCCCTCGCTTCAGAGACAAACAGCGCCCTCCACAACATCGCGCCTTCACCTCCAGCCCGGTGAGTCCTCAGCTGTTTTTTATTCTGTTTCTACTTTTTTGTTTTTTTCACATAAATTTACTTGTGTATTTTTTTCCCATCATGCAGCATGACTATGACATGCGTGTGGATGACTTCCTGCGGCGGACGCAGGCGGTGGTGAGCAGCAGGCGTGAGCGTGAGCGGCAGCGTGAGCGTGAGCGTGCTGGACCACGGAGAGAGAGAGAGCGAGAGCGAGTGAGGGAGAGAGACAGAGAGAGAGAGAGGGAGAAGGAGAGGGGACGGTACCGTAGGTGATCTGTAGAGGCTTTTATTTTGACAGTCAGCAGTGTTTTGGACTTTCTTTCTTTTTGAAATAATGAATAAAATTAAACCAAGTTCATGATGACATCATTTATTTTTATTTGTTTGATGACATCATCAGTTAAATGTGAATTAAAATATTTGAAAAAATGTAAAAGAAAAAGAAGCTTGGTCCAAACTTTTAATTTGCTGATCCTGTGTAAAGGGAAGTGACATCACAGCGAGTCACACGTGTTTCCTGCTCACATTTACAACATGTGATGTTTCTGTAAATTAACCCTTTTTTTTTTGTGTATTCCCCCTGAAATCTTCACACTTCATTTCCCAGATTTCTCTCTGAGCCTCAACAGGAAACTGTGTTTTCATAGTTGTAGTCGTGAAGGTTCCCAACCTGGGGGTCGTGGCCCTCTGAGAGGTCTCATGATGAAAAACTTTTATTTTGAAGTTTCTTTGTTTTCATTGGTTCTTTTATTGTGAAAGGATAGGCAGTTTATTGTCAAACCTCTATCTTATTCATTTAAACAGTTTTACTTCTACTTTGAATTTGACTTTGTACTTCCTATTCTGCACTGTAAAAAACGATGACAATGAAAACGTAAAAGAATGGTGTTTCTTTTTACTCATTATTCTGTTGGACTCACGAGCGCCCCCTGCTGCTGCTTTTCTCACATTTAAATAAAATCTACTTCCTGTTGGTTTTTAAAGTTTTATTTTGTGCTTGTCTCTGATTTAAGTTTCCTGTTTGTGAGAGAGGGGGCGGGGCTTGTCTGTTTTTGTACAAAATAAAATCTGAAATGTTTGTGTCGCTTCTGTTTGTAAATAAAGTTTCAATCAGCTGATCCTTAAATTTTTAATGTTTTGATTTAAATTCATGAATTTATTTTCTGATTGTCAAATTCTCTTCAGTTGTTTTTTTTTTTTTCTTGTCCTCACTGTCTGCATTGCAGGAAGTAATGACTGACCCCCCCCCGAAGATGGCTATAACGGTTGTCATGGCGACAGGCAGGGTCATGTCACTGTGGTACTGGATTCAGTTCAAGTAGTATGATGTAAAAGACTTATTGTGAAAGAATATGACAAGACAAATATAAAAGTTTGAATAGTGGGCATGTGTTTACCCTGCAGGTCGTTTGTGGGATCCAATTAGAAATGTTCATGTTTGCGGCTAACGTTTTTGGATATTCTCTGCTAAACTTCCTGATCACTTGACGGAAAGCACCGGAATGTGTGAGTCGATGAATCTTGCATTCTTAAGTCCACGTTAACGATGAGAATCAGTTCTTCCTGTGTGTTGGTTTCATTTAAAAGACGTTCAGGTTTATAAATCCTGATATAGAACTTACTGTGTGCTCATCGTCTCTGCACGGTTGCTGTCGTCAGGCAGATTATCTTCACCTGTATGTGAAGCTCGTCACTTTGACACGAGCTGCAGATCTTTAACTTTAACTCCTAATTAATTAATTAGAACCAGAGGAAACAGTAGAACCAGTAGAATCAGAAGAAACAGTAGAATCAGAAGAAACAGTAGAATCAGAAGAAACAGAAAAAACAGTAGAAACAGTAGAATCAGAAGAAACAGAAAAAACAGTAGAAACAGAAGAAACAGTAGAACCAGAAGAAACAGAAAAAACAGTAGAAACAGAAGAACCAGAAGAAACAGTAGAACCAGAAGAAACAAAAGAACCAGAAGAAACAGTAGAATCAGAAGAAACAGAAAAAACAGTAGAAACAGAAGAACCAGAAGAAACAGTAGAACCAGAAGAAACAAAAGAAACAGAAGAAACAGTTGAACCAGAAGAAACAGTTGAACCAGTAGAAACAGTAGAACCAGAAGAATCAGAAGAAACAGAAAAAACAGTAGAAACAGAAGAAACAGTAGAACCAGAAGAAACAGTAGAACCAGAAGAAACAAAAGAAACAGAAGAAACAGTTGAACCAGAAGAAACAGTTGAACCAGTAGAAACAGTAGAACCAGAAGAAACAGAAGAAACAGTAGACCCAGAAGAAACAGTAGAACCATTAGAACCAGAAGAAACAGTAGAAACAGAAGAAACAAAAGAAACAGAAGAAACAGTTGAACCAGAAGAAACAGTTGAACCAGTAGAAACAGTAGAACCAGAAGAAACAAAAGAAACAGAAGAAACAGTAGACCAGAAGAAACAGTAGAACCATTAGAACCAGAAGAAACAGTAGAAACAGAAGAAACAGTAGAACCAGAAGAAACAGTAGAAACAGAAGAAACAGAAGAACCAGAAGAAACAGTAGAAACAGAAGAAACAGAAGAAACAGTAGAACCAGTAGAAACAGTAGAACCAGAAGAAACAAAAGAAACAGCAGAACCAGAAGAAACAGTAGAACCAGAAGAAACAGAAGAACCAGAAGAAACAGTAGAACCAGAAGAAACAAAAGAAACAGCAGAACCAGAAGAAACAGTAGAACCAGAAGAAACAGAAGAACCAGAAGAAACAGTAGAAACAGAAGAAACAGAAGAAACAGTAGAAACAGTAGAACCAGTAGAAACAGAAGAAACAGTAGAACCAGTAGAAACAGTAGAACCAGTAGAAACAAAAGAAACAGTAGCAACAGAAGAAACAGTAGAACCAGTAGAAACATAAGAACCAGAAGAAACAGTAGAACCAGAAGAAACAGTAGAAACAGAAGAAACAGTAGAACCAGTAGAACCAGTAGAAACAGAAGAAACAGTAGAAACAGTAGAAACAGAAGAAACAGAAGAAACAGTAGAACCAGAAGAACCAGAAGAAACAGTAGAACCAGAAGAAACAGTAGAAACAGAAGAACCAGTAGAACCAGTAGAAACAGAAGAAACAGTAGAACCAGTAGAAACAGAAGAAACAGAAGAAACAGAAGAACCAGTAGAAACAGAAGAACCAGTAGAACCAGTAGAAACAGTAGAACCAGTAGAAACAGAAGAACCAGTAGAACCAGTAGAAACAGAAGAACCAGTAGAAACAGTAGAAACAGAAGAAACAGTAGAACCAGTAGAAACAGAAGAAACAGTAGAAACAGAAGAAACAGAAGAACCAGTAGAACCAGTAGAAACAGAAGAACCAGTAGAACCAGTAGAAACAGAAGAACCAGTAGAACCAGTAGAAACAGAAGAAACAGTAGAACCAGTAGAAACAGTAGAACCAGTAGAACCAGAAGAAACGGGAGCTTTTATTTTGATAGTTCCCCGGATGTTACGTCGTTGTATCATGTGTTAGCTTGACGCCGGTCCGCTGTGATCACAGAGGCTTCGTTTCCTCTGAGATAACGCCCAGACTCGGCTTTCTCTGGCCCGTAATCCGACTAAAATGACAGATAAGAGGATTTAACGGAGAGTAACGGACCCCCGGGGCTTGAGAAGGTAAATGAACCTTTAAAATGTCCCGGTTTAACTGCTTCAGACACAGGTACGCCTGCTAACGGCAGCTAGCCGCCGTTAGCTCGATCAGTTTCCCTTTATTTTCCCTAAATCCCGTTTAAACCTCCTCAACCCGCAAATTTCCCCAAGTTTTCCCTTCGTGCTTCGTCACACCATATCCCGCTGTGACGGAACCAACCCGGGAAAATCTTCCGTTAATCAGCTGACAGTGAAAATACATTCAGTTTCACTAGAATATCTGTGGGATTTAACAACAGGAGTCATTCAAATCTCGCGAGATAAAGCAGGAGGTTCTAGCATGTTAGAGTGATATCCAGTCTATGGTGATTATATCTATAGTATATACAGTATATATATATATATAAGTTATCGATCTCTCTTCTTTCTTTCTGTCCCTCGCTCTCTCCCTCTCTCTCTCTCTCTCTCTCTTCTTTCTCTCTCTCTCCCTCTGTCTCTCTCTCTCTTCTTTCTCTCTCTCTCCCTCTGTCTCTCTCTCTCTCTTCTTTCTCTCTCCCTCTGTCTCTCTCTCTGTTTCTCTCCTTTCTCTCTCCCTCTGTCTCTCTCTCTTTTTCTGTCTCTCTCTCTTGCTCCCTCACTCTCTCTCCCTCTGTCTCTCTCTCTTGCTCCCTCACTCTCTCTCCCTCTGTCTCTCTCTCTTGCTCCCTCACTCTCTCTCCCTCTGTCTCTCTCTCTCTCTCTACCTCTGTCTCTCTTTCTCTCCCTCTTTCTCTGTCTCTCTCTCAGTCTTTGCCATGCTCACTCGACCGCTGACACTGACCAAGAGGGAAGGCAAAAGGCCAGACCTCGTCACGGTAACCCCACCCCCTGTCCTCCCATTGGCTTATGATGGTGATGACGCCAACAAGCCCCAAAGCGGTGAGTTTGATTTGTTTGTTATTTATCATGTTTATATTAAAGTAAGTCTGTGGGCGAGAGACCTGTTGTTTGTATGCAGAGAAACAGAGAGAGAGAGAGTACTGACTCCTTTTCTCCTCCTTCAGGAGTTTTCTCTCATCCTGCACCTCTTTGGACCTGCGCCTCCTCCTCCTCCTCTTCACCTCCTTGCTTTACCTCCTCTGCTTCTTCAACTCCTCTTAACACCTTCCTCTCCTCTAAACCTTCTCCTTCTCCTCCTCCCTGCAGTTCCTCTGCAGCTCCTTTTCCTTCCTTCCTCTCTCCTTCTCCTCAGTCCTCCTCCTCGTCTGCTCCTCCTCTCCCTGTCTTTCTTTCTCCTTGTATTCCTCCTCCTGCGTCCTCCTCTTCTTCTTCCCCCGTCTCTCTCTTTCAACCACCTCCTCCTTGTTTTGCTCCTCCCACTGTTTCGCCTTTACCCTCTTCCAGGGTTTCTCCTCGTTCTCCCTCCTCTCCTCATGTCCCTCTCCTTTCCTCACCTCCTTCCTTGTCTTTTCATTCTGCCTCTCCTTCTCCTCCTCCTCCTCCTCCCTGCTGCCCCTGCTCCTCCCTTCTGCCTCGACTTCTCTCAGCTCACCGGTTGGAGGTGCGGCGCCTCCTGCGAGGAGCTTTGTCCTCCCTAGGTCGTCGTCTTGACTCTCTGGAGAGGAGGAGCAGGAGGAGGAGGAGGAGGAGCCGGCAGAGAGCGGAGGAAACCAGCAATTCTCCTGGTGAGTCGATTTGAATCCTTCACCATCAAGGATACCAAAGAACAAAACACAACAATGACTCAGATAAATTACATTTGAATCAATTCAACTTTGAAAAAAAACTTTCAACAAATACCCCTATGTAGTGGTAGACATTGGAGCAAGCCACCTTGCCCGGAAGAGGGAAACAACCACATGGAGCCGCCACCCTGTAGGCCCACCCCCCCGCAGGGAGAGGCATGGGGGAAGGGTGCATGCAGAGCCGTGTGGCAGGCGTAGGCGGAGGCCTGGGCATTCTGATTCCCGGCAGCGCAGACTGGCTCTAAGGACGTGGAACGTCACCTCTCTGGTGGGGAAGGAGCCGGAGCTGGTGCGGGAGGTGGAGCGCTACCAGCTAGACATAGTTGGGCTCGCCTCTACGCACAGCGCCGGTTCTGGAACCAAACTCCTGGAGAGGGGCTGGACTCTCTCTTTTTCTGGAGTTGCCCAGGGTGAGAGGCGCCGGGCGGGGGTCCCGGCTGAGCACCGCTGTGTTGGAGTTTTCCCCGGTGAACGAGAGGGTCGCGTTCCCTCTCGTTCCTGCTCGATCTGAACCTGAGTGGTGTTTTGTTGTTGGACTTCTGTACTAGTCATGGATTGGCCATAACAAACACCATGTTCAAGCATAGGGATGTTCATAAGTGTACCTGGTACCAGAGCACTCTAGGCCAAAGATCGATGATCGACTTGGTAGTTGTTTCGTCAGATCTGCAGCCATGTTTTGGACACTCGAGTAAAGAGAGGAGTAGAGCTGTCAACTGATCGCCACCTGGTGATGAGTTGGATCAGACTGGTACAGACCTGGCAAACCCAAACGTGCAGTGCGGGTGAACTGGGAACGTCTGGCAGAGGCCCCTGTCCGTGGGGTCTTCAACTCTCACCTGCATAAGAACTTCTCCCTCATCCCGGGGGAGGTTGGTGGTCCATGTTCAAAGCCTCCATTGTAGAAGCTGCGGCTAGGAGTTGCAGCCAGAAGACCATCGGTGCCTGTCGTGGCAGCAACCTTAGAACCCGCCGGTGGTGAAGGAAGCCGTCAGGCTGAAGAAGGAGGCCTTTCGTGCTTGGTTAGACCAGGGGTCTCTGGAAGCAGCTAACAGGTATAGGGTGGTCGAAGGGCTGTGGCTTCAGTGGTTGGGAGAAACCCGGTGTGGGAGGAGCCCGGGAGGCTTTGAAGAAGGACTTTCGGCTGGCCTCAACAAGGTTCTGGCAAACCGTCTGATGGCTCAGGAAGGGAAAGCAGGGCTTTCCCCAGGCTGTTATCAGCAGGGGTAAAGAACTGCTGACCCGAACTGAGGACATTGTTGGGCGGTGGAAGGAATACTTTGAGGAACTCCCACCCTGAGATGCTAAAGGCTCTGGACATTGTTGGGCTGTCTTGGCTGACACGCCTTTTCAATGGAGGTCTGGGACAGTGCCTGTGGAGTGGCAGACCGGTGTGGTGGTCCCCATTTTCAAAAAGGGGGACCGGAGGGTGTGCTTCTATTATCGGGGTATCACACTTCTCAGCCTTCCGGGGAAAGCTTACTCTAGGGTGCTGCGGGGGGTGCTGCGGGGGGTGCTGCAAGGGGTACTGCGGGAATATGGGGCTCCGGGGCCGTTGGTACGAGCCATCCAGTTCCTGTATGACCAAAGTGGGAGCTGTGTCCGCATCCTCGGCACAAAGTCAGACACGTTCCCAGTGCGTGTTGGCCTCCACCAGGGTTGCCTCTTGTCACCGGTCCTGTTTGTGATGTTCATAGACAGGATCTCAAGGAGCAACCGGCGGGAGGAGGGTTTTCAGTTTGGGGACCTCATACAAGCGGCCGAAATGAGCTTCCACCGGAGGGTGGCTGGGCTCAGCCTTAGAGATAGGGTGAGGAGCTCGGAAATTCGGGGGGAGCTTGGAGTAGAGCCGCTGCTCCTCCGCATCAAAAGGAGCCAGTTGAGGTGGTTTGGGCATCTATTAAGGATGCCTCCCTTTAGAGGTTTTCCAGGCATGACCAACTGGGAGGAGACCCCGGGGCAGACCCAGAATGCGCTGGAGGGATTATATATCCCGTCTAGCCTGGGAACGCCTCGGAATCCCCCAGGAGGAGCTGGAAAACGCTGCTGAGGAGAGGGAAGTCTGGGTTGACTTACTGTGCCTGTTACCACCATGACCCGACCTCGGATAAATGGAAGAAAATGGATGAAAACTGAAAAGGACACGCACATCCCTGAGTGGGTGCTGGATCCAAAAACCAGGAATAGGGTTGTTTCTAAACCAGCTCGGACAGCGAGAAGCTGCAGCTTGAATCACACTTAAGGAATAAACACACAAATAAACATGATTACAATCAACATGAACTTTTTTTTCTGTTCACATTCTGTTTCAGGTTTTGCCGCCATTCCATTAGGCTCCTCCCACTCCCTATGCACCCCTTACCCCTCATCACCGCCATCTTCATCCTCAGACAGCCAGGACACACCTACACCTCCTTTATTATCTAGTTTGAGCCAATCAGAGCAGAGGCGGAGCAGAGGAGAGGAGGAGGAGGAGGAGGAGGGGAGAGGGAGGAAGAGGAGGAGGAAGAACCACAGAAGAAGAGATGGGCCGGTTCGTCCTGTAAACAGAGAAGAAGAAGAAGAGGAAGAGGAGGATGCTGGGAGATTTGTGGGGCGGATGGTGGTCTCCTTCAGAGGAGGAGAAGAGGAGCAACTGCTCACTCTGCACAACTTCAACCAGAGGAAACACAGAAGAAGAGAGAGTGGGGCCAGCCAATCAGAGAAGGTCATCAGTGTCGTCAGGCAGAATGGTTACAGGTGAGAGCGGGCGAGCGAGAGAGAGAGAGAGCCGTTATCAATAAATCTACTGTGATGATTTTAAAACTGAACTCATGTAAACAATGTTTCTCCTCAACTCTCTACAGCTCCTCCTACTCCCAGCATGCCTTGCACCTCCTGCAGTCAGCCCAGAGTGGGGGGGTAGGCAGCCAATCAGAAGCACTCAGCGTCTCTTCAGACCAATGGCATTTCTCAGACTTCAGCCTGCCCCCCTCCCTCTTCTCCAATCACAGTGCCCTTCACTTATGGCTTAGCTCCTCCTCTTTCTCCTCCTCTGGCTTTAGCCCTGCTCCCATGGTGCGCCTGTCAGCTGTTGCCGTGGAGACAATGACAGAGTCAGTGAGGGGCGGAGCTTGTAGTCGTCCCACGCGTCCACTGAAGGACTGGACAGCCCCGCCCAGTCTGAGCATCGACCACTGGTTAGCATTAACCTCATTATTCCAAACTGATGATGTCGTTAATTGAATGACCTTTGACCTTTGTTTCAATGTTTCATTGATCTTCATCAACCTGTTTGTTTCTCTCTGCAGCTACGTACGCCTGTTCTCTCCCAGGTAACGCCCCAACCATGACATCATCACGTCAACAAGAATTATTTATTACCGTGAAGATCTAACTGTGTGTCTGTCTGTCTGTCTGTGTGTCTGTTTGATTAGCCCGTTAGTTTTTCCCGCCCGGCGGATGCAGAAGCAGCGACCCAATCACAGCTCTCGGAGAATCCTCCTGCCCCGACGGCGGGCCCTGCCCCTCCCCCCATGTTCAGCCAATGGCCTGTCTGCTCCGTCTCCTGTCAACCAATCAGCTGCAGGCTGCGAGTTTCTCAGCACAAACGGAGAGGTGGAGCTTATTGAAATGTTTTCTTTGATTAGTTTTAACGTCTGGACCTCATTGATTCTCAGAATAATCCAGAAGTTTCTGTTCTGTCATTCCTTCCATGTTTTTGTGTCAGCGAGGTAAACGTGTATCTCAGATAAGAATTCGGCGGGCGTCGCCACGTGAAACGCCGCTCACACCAATGGGACTGCCAAAGATGAAAAGGTCAGGAGAAGAAATTAACAGAACAAGAGATTCAAAGTGTTCAAAATATTCAAACCAAATGATGTTTTTCAGGTTAAAGAAGAAAGAGTTCAGTCTGGAAGAAATTTATACCAACAAGAACTACAAATCCCCCACCACCAACAGGTAAAAAAAAACTACAAATCCCAGGTTTGACAAAGGTGAATAAATGCAGAGTAAGAATTAAAAAAAGGAGTCCTCCTGCAGGAGTCTGGAGACAATATTTGAGGAGCCACGTGAGAAGGACGGAGCGCTGTTTGTGATTGGCCAGCAGAAGAGACGCAGGCTCCTCCTCTTTCCTGACTTCACGCAGCCCAGGAAGAGGAAGAGGCCGCAAGGTATGCTGGGAAAGGAACGGGCCGAGAACGCCCACCCCGACTTCTCCCTCCTCCTCCTACTTCCGACTTCTCCTCAACTCCTCCTCCCTCCCTCCCTACGACTCCTCCCTCCTCCTCCCTCCCTTCTCCTCAACTCCTCCTCCCTCCCTACTCCTCCTCCTTCCTACTTCTCCTCCTCAACTCCACCTCCCTCCTCAACTCCTCCTCCCTCCCTACTCCTCCTCCCTCCTACTTCTCCTTCCTACTTCTCCTCAACTCCTCCTCCCTCCCTACTCCTCCTCCTTCCTACTCTTCCCTTCTCCTCCTCCTTCCTACTCCTCCCTTCTCCTCCTTACTACTCCTCCTCCTTCCTCCTTCATTCACGGGACATTCATATAGAAAGAGAGAGGTCACAGGGACATGAATATGGCGCCCCTGAAACGGCGGTGTGAATAAGATTATATATTTGGGAATACTGTGCGTTGAAGGAGCCACAGGTTGGACAGGTAAATAATTTTAGACCAATCAGGTGATTTTTCCAACCTATGTCACCTGTTTGTTTTAGGGGTGGGACTTCCTGTTGCCGTGATGCCCAGGAAACGGGCTGTGGCTCGGCGACATTGCCATGGCGGAGGCCACGCTGATGACGAGTCGGACCTGGACGTGATGCTGGTGGAGCGACTGAGCGCACTTGAAGACTTCCTGACACGGCAGGGCCTGGATGTTTGAGCTGTGACATCACTTCCTGTTAGCTGACTTAAGGCCAAATAAACAGAGCTGCTATCGTACCCGCTACTGCTGCCACTATGGCAATGGCCTCAGCATATGACCTGGCGGGTTCTTCCATTTTTGTTTCTTTAGTTTTTTTTCTTTGCAGTGTTGATGCTTGTCTTTGATTTTTTTTACAGTGTGGGCTCTTTGAAAATATTCTAAACTTTAATATTTAATTTTTTTACAGTGTGATCATGTGGGCTGTCAGAGGCCACGCCCCCTGCAGGGCTCAGATGGATCTATTTTATTCTATCATGTTCCAAAAAATATTAAAGAGTTTACCGCAGTACTGAAGGACTACACAGTCCTCTGAAGGACTACACAGTACTGTGTAGTACTGCCTGAGTACTGCGGGGGGGCAGCGGGGGTTTTGGTATTTGGAGTTTTAAAGTGTAATATTTATATTTCTGATGAAAATGTTTCTATTTTTGGAACAAATAAAGTTTGTTTCTCTTCACTGAACTTCATCTCTGGTTATTGATCTCTGATTGTTGAGCTCTGATTATCGACAGTTCTAGAGATTTTAAATCAGCATCAAAATGTATCAGTATAAAGTGTGTGGGTGTTCATAAAATAGCTGGTTACCATAGTAAGTGACAGAAAGTTTAAGTTACCATATTAAACTGCGTCAGAGCTTAGGGTCACTTTCACATTTTGAGTTTGTTGGACTTTGTAACGTTGTTTTTAATTCGGTTGGGTTTGCTTGAACAGTGCTCTCTGTCAAGCACACCAAAACCTGTCAAATGTTGTGTACTGCAGCCGTCCGCCATGAGTCAGGCTGTAGCTCCGGTCAGAGTCTGCTGCACTATGAACCCGAAAAACAGGACAGGGTTACAATGGCGTCCTGCAGAGTGGCGCAGTTTGCCTGTATGTTAGTCTTTTAAATGGAGATAAAGTTATATTTACAGTGGTGTCACTTTAAACCGGGATATGGACTGGAGTGTTGTAACCATTAGCACACCTGAAGACCCTGACACACCGAGCAGACGGCAAGAGATAGAGGTGACGAAGGCCGCCTGTGGCGTCACCTCACGCCACCTCACGTTTTGGACAAAAAGTTTCACTTGAACACACCGCAAAGACTACAGCGGACGGCCAACCACCACGTATGTTCTGCTCATGAGAGGAAATAACTCTCCATGCCAGCAGGGGGCGGTAGTCGGTTGTTATGATACTAGAAGACCATTTTCTCTTCGCTGTCGGTCACCACTCGTATTATAGGTAGCTTACTAATGGAGAATAATGTCTGATAAAAAGTAGAAAATGCCGCTGGCGTTGTCAGCTCTTGGTCTTTTAGTGTAAAAAGCAAAGAAGAGGCGGAGGAGACAAATAAGGAGAAACCGCATTAATGAGTGAAAGCATGGATACTGCAGCGGCATGCTCAAGGGGCTTTCCTGAACCTGAGAGAGCTGGAAAGGAATGAAACCTCCCAACAGTCAATCAGAGAGATCCTTCTCACCGACCACCGATTCAAAATGTCGACAATCGCTCACTTGTCCAACTAGGACCGACGGCCGGCGATCTCCTTGGTGTTTCAGGGCCTTTAACCTACAAGGAGGACTAAAGGCTGGCGTTGTTAGCAATGCTACATTGCTATGTTAGTTAGCTACATTTTGCAAACCAAAATCTGGTGCACTCGGAAGTGACCTGAGACCCCCGTTTTAAAAGTCAGTTCTTTGGTCTGCACCAGATTTTGCATTCACACCACCACCAAAATTATCCGCCAAGTCATTCCGTCAAAACAAACGAAACAACCCCTCACTCCATCACTTCCGAGTCACTTCCTGCATTTGGTACGTTCCCTTTCCGTCAAGATTCTGCCGATTATTTATTGGTTGGTTATTATTTATTGACTGGTGTTTCAAATCTTGTAATTTTGTTTCATAAAATGTGTTTTTCAAAGTTAGTCTCAAATTTTGAAAAAGTGTTTCACACTTCATTATTTTGTTTTGCACTTCTCAGCCACCGTACAAAACGTCTCAGGTTTTTCTTTATAAAGTTGAACATTTTAACATGGGGCTCTATGGGGACTGACTCACTGCAGGAGACAGACTCTAGTGGACACTGGAGGAATTCCAGTGATTCGCTCTTTCATTTTCACGTTTTGTTTCCTTTCTTGAAACTTCTTTTGGCCCTCAGTTGAACCTCGCAGGCAGCAGCTTCTTCATCGACCAATCACATGCTTTAGAAGGTGGATTTCAAAACCATCTCCTGACAGACCACCTCGGGGTGACTGCCCAACGTCCTACGCCGGTACGCATGACGTCTACACGTCACCAACAGTGATCCAACATGGCGACGGCCTTGCGGAGGGTATGCTGCGGAGTAACTTCGAGGTTTGTATCTTTTTTTCATTCACTTTAATTGAAGTGAACAGTTCGACGTCAGTTAATGACGTGCTCTCGTGTGAAACGTGATTACTGCGTAGTGTTTTTTTACGAGCAGTGACGCTGTGAGATTGCACCAGACCCCGTCCACAGATTGTATAAATGAACCTTTAATCGTGATTAAAATCGATAGTTGGTTATGATTGTGACGTCAGACAGGTGCTAAGTGTGTGGATGACGTTGAAGAAGTTTTCGGCTTCAGATAGGTGATACAGGTGTGACACATTTACCTTTTTATCACCTGAACGAGGCGACATTTAGGTTCACTGGTCGCCGGTTGCGCGTGGGGACCGGAAAAGGAACATGTACCTCTTTGAGATGATTGTAGTTTATTAAGAATTAAAAAATCACCTAAAAGCAACAGCGCCATATTATGACGTCATTAATAATTGTATAAAATAAACAATATCCTTAAAAGGAAGCAATGGAGTGTCTCATACTGTGACGTCATTATTGTTGTTGATGGGTTGTTAGTTAAATTAAAGAATACAGAAATCAGTAATTAACAATAACTTTTTTAATGTTTGAATTTATTCAGAGTTTCATCTTTGAACGGCTGCCGACAGCGTCGCCTGCACACGGGTACGTCTGCTCCTCCTCCTCTACGTCTACTCCTCTGCTCTCCTCCTTCTCCTCCTTCTCCTCCTCCTCCTCCTCCTCCTCTTTCCTCCCGTAGATCTCCTCCTCCTCCTCCTGTAGGTCTGCTCCTCCTCCTCCCTCTCCTTCCTCCTTTTCCTGTAGGTATTCTCCTCCTCCTCCTTCTCCTCCTCTTCCTCCTTCCTCCTCTTCCTGTAGGTCTGCTCCTCCTCTTCCTCCTCCTCCTCCTTCCTCCTCTTCCTGTAGGTCTGCTCCTTCTCTCCTTCCTCTTCCTCCTTCTCCTCCTCCCCTTTCCTCTTCCTCCTCCTCCTCCCTCTTCCTCTTCCTCCTCCTCTTCCTCCTCCTCTTCCTCTTCCTCCTTCTCCTCCTCCTCTTCCTCCTTCTCCTCCTCCTCTCTATCTGTGTAACAGTGTTGTTTATTATCTGAGAAGCAGTTAATCATTTAGTTAATTTAATCAGTATCCAATAAGATTCTCTCTGATCTTTGGACCAATCAGGTCGTGGATTCTTGCCCCGCCCCTGGCCCCTCCCCCTCCTGTTAGTGACAGGTGGGTGTTACCTTGGTTACCAGCACTACAGATTGAGTGGCACCCAGGAGGATGGAGCACCGCCCCATTTGGCCACACCCACACAGGTAAGAAAGTAGACTTGCCACTCCCTCTCAGAGCTACCTATGATGTCACAGCTAGATTCTTCTGATTGGTTCAGGTGGACTGAGCAGTAAGGGACAAATGCTGCATTCAGGTGCTCCTTGGACGGTCCAAGTTTTGGGGTTGAAGTCATTCTTCCGACTTCAGTGTTGTAAAAACTACAAACAGCATGGACGCTACGAAGAAGAAGTGTGGATGTCTCTGTTATATTTGAGCAAAAAGTTGATGTGCAACAAGAATTTATAAAAAAGTATCTTAACATTCACTAAAAATATTTTGACCCCCATGTGATGACGAATATGTCGGCAAGTCAGCACCTCATTTTGTCCCGAGTTTGTTGTTTACTTGAGCAGACGTTATTAAGCCCCTCCCTCTCCACTCAGAGGTGTATTAAGCCCCTCCCTGTTCACACTCAGAGTGATGCTGTTCAGACTTTTAAGACATTCACTTCTTAAATCTTAGAATATTAGTAAAAGTGTTATTCAAAGAATACGTCTGGCCAGATTGGGGGTCTAAAAAAAAAGTCTAGTGGGAACTCTGCGCTCCACACTGTGGTGTGTGGAAAGGTTGTGTTGACGGTGGCGTTCATTCATCCATTTAGAGATATCAGCAAGGCATGACGAGATTCTTACAGAGACTATAACATCGTCTGGCGGGAATGACAGGAAGAGTTAGGTGTCGTCAGCATAGCAGTGGTATGAGAAGCCATGAGAGCGGATTATTGAACCAAGTGAGCCTGTGTATATGGAGAAGAGAAGGGGACTGAGCACAGAGCCCTGAGGAACCCTTGTGGATAAACTGTGTTTGTTCTTTGATGTGCGGACGCAGATGCGGACTCGACCACGCGCCACTTTTATCAAGTCCACTTGTTTTGTAAACTGAGCACGCTTCATGATGTTAAAAAGCAGCACTGAGTTAAAAACAGAAAACTTTGTTCTTGTTCTGTGGCATTGCATATCTTGATAATCTTAGCAGTTTTTAGGCTGGAGCTCCTCAGTGGAGCTCAGATGACCCACACTCAGCAGTGCACCTAAACACATCCTGAGTGATGTTACATGTGCTAACATGCTAAGGTTAGCCTGTGTCGAGGGGTATCTGGGTGAGGGGTATCTGGGTGAAAGTTCAGGGTAATGTCACAGTGATGATTTCACTCAGACCGGTCACTCTGCTCGCTACACTAAAACAACATCGCCTCACTCAGTCCCGCCCCCTCTTCTCACTGCCCCATCTGCCTCCTGATTGGCTCATCCTGTTGGGTCAGTCGGTGCCTGAGCAGCAGAGGGCTCTGATTGGACAACATTTTCTCATTTTGATGACCTGCTTTCAGAGACATAAAATAATTTAAACTCAAAGATTCATTAAAATAAAAAATACAGAATCATAAATCTTTAACATTGAATGTCAGTGTTAGAGAGACATGAGAGAGAGAGAGAGAGAGACATGAGAGAGAGAGAGAGAGAGAGAGGGGGCGGAGCTTTTTAGTATTAACTCTCTCTCTCACTAATTTCTCCTCAGTGAACACTGACCTCTGTCTGTGTTCAAATCTCTCTCCTGTCTCTTCTCACCTGTCCTTTCTTACCTGAGTGATCTACTTGTCAGCATGTGTGGTCCACCGTCTCCCCCCTCGTTGTCTCCTGCGACCCCTCGTTCATGGTAAGGTTCCTTCCCCGTGACGGAAGTCGGCTTCGGGAGCGCGATCTGCTACGGCAGGTGAGGCGGCAGCGTCGTGCAGCCAACGCCGAGAGAGAGTGTGAAAAAGATGGAGGAGGAGGAGGAGGAGGGGCGAGAATGAGCGCACGATTCAGGTGGGAGAGGAAGAGGTGTGTCC